ATCGTAACTAAGTTAGTTGAAAAGGTCACTTAAATTTTTTTGTCTTGATCATTTTCACTAGTCATTCACGAGCGTTTTAATGCGGCGCTTTTTTGTGCTTAGAGTTACATGATCGGCCGATCGTTGAAATTCTCTTTTTGGCACGTAGGTACATGATCGGCCGATCGTTGAAATTCTCTTTTTGGCACGTAAGAACATGATCGACCGATCGTGAAAAGGTCATTTAATTTTGTTAGTCTCGATCATTTTCACTATTAATTCACGCTCGTTTTATTGCAGCTCTTTTTGCCTTAGAGGTACATGATCGGCCGATTCTTAATACGTCATTTCGTAAAAGTATTTGATTGGGTGTATGAATCTCTGTCTCAACACATATTTATTGTTAGGACAACGCTGAGCCCGCGACAGCAAAGTCGAACGAACAAACGTCAAAGACGGAGGCCTCGAAGCCTCACGGAGAAGAACTTCTGCCGGCGCAGCAATTCTCATCGACGTCTCCTGAGGTACTGCGCTATGCAATTAAGAAAAAATAACTCTCTGTTTGTTTCCGAATGTCATAGTTGTCTTACTTTATGTTTTGGCTTAGAGGTACATGATCGGCCGATCGTAACTAAGTTAGTTGAAAAGGTCATTTACGTTCGTTTTATTCCAGCCCTTTTCGTGTTGGTTCCACATCTTACATATAGAGACGAAATACCAATCGGTCGATTGTTATTTCGTCTCTATATGTAAGATGTGGAACGTTTAGGAGGAGGATACGCAGCCGATCGTCGATACACCGTCGTCGCCGCTGTCGAACAGACAGTTTGATACCGAGGCGTTCGAGTTTCAGGACCTTGGCGTCGTTTCGGTACAATTCACCCTTTTTGCCTGATTTTTGCCAACACTCCAAGTTACAGGTGCCATTTCATCATGTACACAAAGCTTCCACTCGCGACCTTACGGTCGCAAGCCTGCGCCTAAGCCGTGATGATGCGAAGGTTCGAGAAGCCCTGGAACGAATTGCAAACCTGGACTTCGTGCATGCTATTGCACTTGGCATTGGCGGCGCGAAAGTTGATAATTTCGACTTTCTGGTGAGTGATGAGAAGTTGCGGACGACAATAACCGCAAAGCTACTTTGCAGATGCTGGTTGAATGTGGTGCTCCGACGAAACAGCACAGAATTGAAGCCATGCTCACCGGCCTGGAGGTTAACAACTTGCAAATTCGACCCATCGACGAACAAAAGCATCTCGATTTTGTATGGAACAATTTAAACGCGATCGAACGATTCTCGGCTGGCTATGTCGTCGTCCACGGACGTATGTACCCGTCGAAGTAACGACAACAGTTATAATTAAGCTTTTAAGGGTTAATGTCGACGACGGTGAATATGGCGAAATATCGGTTTATGAACCGCCAGGCGGAACTCGGTGTTTGGGGCCTGGAAGATTTGATGGCGTACGAAAAATCGATTGTCAGGAACGAAAGACGATCTTTTCTCAGTGTTGTGAGTCAAGCTCTCATGAAATGAAAAGTTTTGGAAAGCATTAAGACACAAACCAAAATGACTTTACAGATGAAAAAGCGAAAAGATTAGATTTGCGTGTGTATCTGGTGGAAGGCAAGCCGGGCTCGGGAAAAAGCCATTTTACGAGGTGCACATGGAGAGAGGACACCTATTTCGGCACATCGTCCAAGTTCTTGGAAGGTTGGTTTTGAGGCGGGCTCATACGGTACTCATGACATGAGTTTCAGGCTATGTCACCCAAAAGACGATAGTGCTAGATGAGCTGTGTTACCGGTCTCGGGAAGGCATGTCTGGCGCCGATCTACTGCTGCTGACCGGAGAGGGTGTTGCCATGGGCAATATAAAGTACGGCGTTTTTAGCTGCTTTGAAAATGTTGTTGTTTCGACAGTTGCTCCCTGAATGAAATAGTTTGTTTTCCAAGCGTTGCTCCCAGTCTTCGGCAAATGACGGTTTCTGAACCACTCTTTATCTCTTTGTCAGGATTTTCTGAGTCACTCAGGAATTTCGCCGTTTGTTACTGCTACTTACTAGATGCCGCAACAACCAACCACTGATCCTGTCGCTGAAAACGCTCTGTGGGTATCTCTTCTATCCGAGCCTTTTCGAACGAAAATGTGCCAGTGCGACCAGCGTCGTCTCCAAGTACCACCAGATTTGCGACAAAGTAAGTTTTTATTGCATTTTTATCGCTGAAATTCGATATTTGGTTTTTTTTTTTCGCAGTTCAAAAAAATCACTCCATGGTGGCCACGGTGGGGCCAAGCTACTTCATTGGGCGTTGCTA